CCTGGAGAATAGTGTTAGGCACCGGGTAGACATGAGATCAGACTAGCCAGCAAAGAGACCCATACAGAGACAGAAATGCAGCAGCTTATGTACTTGCAAGACAATATGGGACTGCATGTGTAACATAGTGCTAAACTGGAAGCTGATGACCTACCAAGTGCAGTTGGAGACAAAGTGGTAGATAACATGCTTGTTGGAAACCTCTCCACTTAGGAGGACAATCACCTTTTGGTTTGTATTCCTTCTTCCATCTTTCATCTTGATTTGAACAAGGAAAAAATGTAGCTTATCTTCAGACACTTCACTTGCACGTCCTTTTTCCAACTTTCCTTCCCCCAGATGGGTATCTTGAGGAGCAACAACCACCGGGGCTGAACTCTTTTATGGCGTAGAGCGAAGCATGATTCCCCACCTATTTTCCATAGACTGAATATAAGCATATACTTACTGGCTGGAAGGATGATGCTCCTTTCCTAGAATTTCAAATTTAACTCAATTGAACTCAAGATTCAAGCCAGCAAGGAATTGAATAATCACTTTCTATTCAATTAGCTTTTGTAATTTAGACACATCTATACCACATTATGTCAATTTCTCCGATAGTGATCCAACTCTTGCCATACCATAGAACTACGTGGAAGGTTTTAAGAATGAATAATAACCATTACTATTATCTGGTTGCATGGAGTAAAGCAGGCATTACATAAATGTAGAATTATTAGCCCTCTCTAAAGAGGATAATTAGGATTTCTCAATTTTAACAATTAGATAGCTCATCTTCCCTGCTAATAGGCAATATAACTAAGAACAAAGAGTATAACTAAGGCCATCGAGCTTTATTGTTATGATCTACTGGCGGCCGCCTTGTGTGATGCTCAAAGTATGTAACGTCTATCCACCACCCCCCTACTTCCACCCCCCACCGCCACTCCTACCCTCAACCCCATCATCACACTACTAGAAAATTTTCTATTATTATGCCAAATTGTTATTTAAAAAAAAATTAAAACGTGAAGTAGGTAATAAAGATGATGGAAAATTCAAATGTGGAGTAGTTATCAAAAAGTTGGAAGTGGTTACATAAGCCACATATTGGAATTTAACTAGAGGAGACCAATACGTTCCTATTATATAATCCAAAATTAGGAGAAAATAGAATTTAAGGATGGAAAGCTTCCCAAGCTCTCTCTCCCTAAATTGACTATGATACTATACGGTATAGATAAGATAGGTTTTGATGCTAAAACCTTATTTGGCTTACATCAGTTTTCAACTGTGATTGCCTCTTACATTCTCAAATAGGTCGTAAACGCCACTTTGCAATCCCCGACACACACTGAATGGTTCACATTGACCTAGAATCAATAAGAAACACAAGCAATTTCTTATCATCAGATAAAAATGCATAATTTTATTTAACTAGGAAAAAGGGAAATATTTATACAATAATCTAAGATCAATCTTAAAAAATTACAAATGGATTTTTCTCTTCATGTCCTTCATGGTAATATTTCTATATTTTTTTTTTTTTTGCATATGCGAAACTCTTCTTCAGTTCTTTGTCAAACACAAATCTTTCTTTTGTTCTTTGTGCAGATTTAATGAAGAATCACTTAATCACTCTTATACCAAGTTGAATTTGTGTAAGAAAATAATTAAAGAATTAAAAGAGAAAAAGTAGGGGAGAGAGAGAGAGAGAGAGAGAGAGAGAGAGAGAGAAAGGGGGGGGGGGGGTTAGACAAGCTATGCAAATACAATAGCAAAGATAATTAGGTTCTCTTCCTAATTAGTTTATGTTACTGTGGACTTAATATCTCAAAAGTCCAAAAATATCATTAAAATAGGATAAATAAATATCATAATTCTAGCAGTAAATTTATTTTTTTCCTTTTCCTTTTCCTTTTCTTGGGTTGAGCTGTTACGCTAAGTTATTCTTAGTTCTAATTAATTTTATCTCTGTGCAGGGTACCAAATGTGATGTTCGAGATGGGAATGATGTGAAAAATTTAGTTGCATTTGCACAGAAAAACCTGAAATACATTGATATATGGGTACTTGATTTCTCCTTTTGATTTGTTTATTTGGAGTTTGGTATGCGCAAATTGTAACAAATATCTTTATGCGAGTTATTTTTACCTTTTGCTAACTCAAGGCAATTTTCTAAACTCAATCTAGGGATTACTATGTGGGAAATGACAAAGATTAGTTTATTCTTGTGGTTTGAAGGCTTGACCTCGATACCAAGCGATTTCTTTTTGAGGTACTTTAGATTGACATTTGATACACAAACCTGTAGCGTGATGCCCTAATTAAATTTTCTTTCCCCAATAAAACATCAAGTAGGTGGTGAGTTTGGCAAGGATCCCTAGCAGTAAGAAAGGGAAAATTGAAAAAGTTCATGCAAGAGGTGGAGTCAAAGAGGACTTTGGGTTGACAAAGGCAGAAGCATCAAGCCCTACCACAATTTCCTCCCCTAGGACAAAGATGATAAAGTGGGAAACGTGACACTTCATCTATGAGACTATGACCACTACCTCAATTTGCAAGGGCATCTGTTGCTTGGTTTCCTTTCTAGTAATCAACATTTGTCTAAGTCATACTATTTTTATGCTCGGAGGTGGAAAAAAGGACCAGTGAACTTTTTCCATGCCCACTAAGCATGTCCACTTGAGTTTCAGAATCATGTTAATATTCGCATCTTGTAAGCCTGGCAAATACAAAGCTTCTAGACATAATATGCAAATGATAATAAATTACACCTAGGACTATGTTAAGTAACCTAGGTCGAGCCTTCTACTCCATGGACTATGTTGGCCTCGTGAGGGTTTGGCACAACCTTTGCATGTGGGTGACTTGCCCACTGGCTAACCCCAACATGTATAACAGGGCTGTTATACATCGGTGATTTGGTCAGCATGTTCAGTTACTGGACAGTGCACAATTGCATTGTCAACAGGCCAATCCGTAACCCGATCATGCAGAAGTGCTAAGGTAGGTGCCAGAAAGGTAACTTCGTAAATATCATTATAATTCCTCGGCAACCTTGATGTCCATTTGCTGGCACTTGGGTAGGTGTGAGAAAGGTAACTTGTAAAAAAAATTATTATAATTTCTCAGCAAGCACTAGGGTTTTATTTTCTAGAGTATATAAGGATCTCCCTTGGGCACTTAGGGGTGGAAACTCCTATGCATTTGAGTCTTGGCAAGCAAAAAAAAAGGATGACATCAAGATCCTTATTACCTATTGAAGCAAGGCACACAAGTTAAAACTCTAAGAAAATGTTTGGACATTTGTTGGATCTGTTGGTATGGAAGCCCTGCACATTGTTGAGGGAGTCAACATAACGTGGGCACGATTGAGTATGTTGAAGGCTTGCAATGCATAGGCTTGGGATGGCAAGGGGCATTACTTGCATACATTTGAAGACCAAGCACGGGCAAAAGCACATGGGCAGACAATGGTGGCTTTGGTAAAACTAGGTGAGCAGTTGGCACTAGTTATAGGTGGTTACCAAGACACAATTGCTCCAAAATATTTGTATTGCATCTGGTTGGACAAAATGCTTGGTGGTTTCTTGGGAATCCACCACCGTAGATTTTTTGCATTTAATATCAAGCAACATAAAAAGTTGTATAATCTAAGGTAGCAGATGAAGACGACAAATGCAAAAGTAGTAGTAGTAGCACCTATTGTTGGGATGTAACTGCCATTGGATGGCTAATACTTGTAAGGGCCTACATATTACCCCAAGAAAAAATGGTGCATTTTTGTAAGCAAACCTTTAGCCAGACACATTGAATTTGGATTTTAAAATTAAAAGTTAGGACATTGTCCAGTAACGTGTTTAGCTTATGTTTGACGAACTATCTATGAGAAACATCTTGAATGTTGTTGGCTAAAACTAAGTGTGGGATTTAGTGTCATCATACTCGCAAACATTTGTGACAAACTAGACCTCATCTGACAATTGGTATTGTTAAGTTTAGAGGGTGAGCACAATATTAAAGAGAAACAGAGAGTGGTCGAACTTAACCTACATCTCACTAACAACTTGTATTTATAGTCATCTCGTAAATATACAAAGGACGGATATACCCTTAAGAGGTAATTAGATAATAATAATATTCTCAATACTCCCCTTTAAGCTGGACTATATATATCATATAATCCAAACTTCGAACAAATGGCTGTAAGACAAGTACGACTCAATGTTTTGGTATACATATCTGCAAGTTGATCCTCAAATCTCATAAATGAAGTTGTAATGTCTCCAATTATTATCTTGTCTCGAATAAAGTGACAATCAACTTCGATATATTTAGTCCTCTCATGAAATACTGGCTTAGTAGTAATATGAATAGCCATTTGATTATCTCAGAATAATTATAAAAGAGATTGAACTAGAAAGCTAATATCCTGAAGGTAGTGTAATAATAACCATGTCAACTCACTAATTATATGTATTATTGCTCGATTTTTAACCTCAAAACTGGATCTTGCTACCATTGATTGTTTCTTACTTTTTCATGTGATCACATTACTTTCTAAGAAAGTACAATAACTAGTGGTTGAATTCTGATCTGAGGGAGAGCCAGTCCAGTTAGCATTTGAAAAACCTTTCACCTTAAATGTCCATTGGCTCGATACAACGAGTCAAGTGCACGTTTGAGGTATCGAAAGACGCGAGTAATTGGCTCCCAATGTGGGACTCTAAGGCATCCCATAAACTGAGTTATCACACTAAGTACATAAGCAATATTCGGTCGAGTAATATTGAGACAATTGAGCTTCCTAACCAATCTACGGTAGTGATCCGGATTCTCAAATAGTGTACCATCATCCATCGACAATTTCTTGTTTGGAGCCATAAGAACATCAATTAGTCTGCCACTTAACAAACCTGTTTCATCTAACATGTCAAGTACATATTTCCTCTGAGATAAACAAATACCCTACTTAGATCTGACAACCTACTGCAATTGTTATAGTTAACTTCAAAATGGTGGATCAATGCCTCATCTATAAGAAGAAAAAGAAGAAAGATGGTCGAAAGAAAGATAAGATTGATTCTTCTAAAGTAGTAACAAAAATGGATTGGAATAACAAGAAAGACGGAGGTGATGCTAAGAACATTGATAACTACCAACAAAAGAAAGGTCAATTCAATTCTAGTTGCTTTCTTTGTGGAGAACCCCATCGAAAAAGGGAGCAGTTAAGTACCCTTGTTGCTGAAAATATTATGGATGATGGTAACATAGACTCTACTTGTGCCAATCCTATGCAATTGCTAAATGCAATAATTGTTATGAAGTTTCAGCCCAAAAAGGCTAGATGTACATGCAAGTGATGGTGAACGATAAAGAAGTTTTGACTAGGGTGAACATTGGGGTCACCTACAACTTCATTGCACAGAGAGGTGAGAAATTTGGCCAGAAATTGACCGAGAATATAAAGCAAACTTAAGACTATAATTCATAAATGAAGCCAGTAAGTATAAGTTAAAGGGCCTAATGCTTGCGGTTGAAATTTTGGGCTAATTTGCTAGTTTTATACCCCATAACTCCCCAAAATCCTTCCACCCAAATGTGATGTTAACTGTAGATAAAGTTGGAGCCTAGTGTAAAGGTTACAGTGCAAACCCCTTACATTATATCAGCTTTGAAGTTCTCAGTATTAAGGAGGAGTTGAATTGATTTGCTTCATTCAGGAAGTATTCAACCCTCCAAAGGTGCTATACGCAGCGTCGATGTTGTTCTGCATGGACTATTGGGCCCTTAACAAGGTTACTGTTAAGAACAAGCACTATATTTCAAATGTCGTTGATCTGTCTAAGGTATCTTACTTTAGTACTTCACCAAACTAGATTTGAGGACGGGGTATTGGCAGGATAGAATTGCCGAAGGTGGTGAACCCAAAACTACATGTGTAACTCGTTATGGTTTCTATGAGTTCCTTGTAATGTAGTTTAGGCTCACCAATGCCTCAATTGCTTTCTGTAATCCAATGAATGATGTAATTTATGATTATATCGATTATTTTGTAGTTATATACTTGGATGATATTGTAGTCTATAGTGAGATGTTTAGAATCACTTAGCTCATCTAAGGAAGGTGTTTTCATGGCTTAGAGAGCACCAGTTTTGTGTCAAAAATGAGAAGTGTGAGTTTTGTTGTTAAGAGGTGATGTGCTTGGGACATTGGGTGAGCAGTGACAAAATTTAGATGGATGAAATAAAGGTGAAGGCAATTGTGGATTGGCCTATACGAACCAAGGTGCCAGAGTTGTGATATTTTCTTGTTTTGATCAACTATTACCACAAGTTTATGCTGGGTTATTTAAAGAAGGCGAACACCCTCATTGACTTGTTCAAGGACTAAAAATGGGATTAGATGGAGGCTTGTCTGGCTGATAGTGAAAAATTTAAGCAAGTAATTTTTTTTGCACAGTGATTCGAATTGGCCTTTGAAGTACACACTAATGCTTCTAACCGAGCCATTGGTGGCGTTCTTGTTCAAGATGGACACTCTATGCCTTTGAAACTCAAAAATTGAAAGATGTAGAGCAACCCTACTCACCACATGAGAAGTTGATTGTGGTGGTACATTATTTGGAAATTTGGAGGCATTATTTGCTAGGAACCAAGTTCATAGCGGTAACAAATAATGTGATGAGCATATACTTCAAGTCCCAAAAGAAGTTGACCACTTGACCTGTTGTCCGAATTTGATATTGACAATTTACGTATAAGTATACACAATCAACAAGTAATAAAGTGATAAGTAGAGTATCGTTCCCACAGAGAGTTATTATTAATAATTTTCAAGTACTAACTTTGCATCAATTCGATTTTATTTAAACAATTAAAATTAAACTATGAAATTGCTAATTTAAAACTAAATTTAAAATTACTAACCAAGGACTGATTTCACCAAATAAAAGAATTTAAGATTACAACTTCCCCTAATACTTTGTATAAATCTCTTCACTCTCCTTCCAGTCAATTAATCAAAATAAGTTGTTAATTGAAAATTTAAAATTATTAATGAAACCTCTTCCGAAGGTTAGATAAAAATATCTCTCCCAATTAAATCACTATATTCCTATGCAATGTAAATTGGAACAGATACATTAAGCTCAAACTCTCATAAAAATTACACACGGCATATAGGTGTATTCTTATCCTATACACAAACTCACGTTATTCAATTCTAAAAATAAATAACTAGACGCATGTTATCATATTCAGATCCAAACCCTAGAATTCATCTTTCAATTTCATCTAGGGAACCAAATTAATTGTTGGCCAAACAATCATATAGTAAGCACAAAATATGATAAACAACTTATGGAAGATCAATAATAGCTGAAAACAAGAGCAAATTAATTTAACTAAACATTAGGTTCCATTGCAATCTTAATAAAAATTTAGTTTATAATATAATTGAAAAACATCATCTTCAAATTAATCAACATTTTTTAAAATTAAAACTAAAAGTAAGAGAAAATGATGAAAATTGTGTTGCAATCTTCAATCTCTTTCTAGCCTTCAATTCCAGTCTTCTTCGTGTTGCTTCCTTTGATCCTTGTCTTCAATTCACTATTAATCTTTGGTTTTCTTTGTGTTAGCTGCCCTTTATAGCAGTATATAAATATATCTCTAACTAAACCCTAACATGTGTGTAGCATTAGAGTTCAATTTTTACTCAAAAACAAGTCAGAATTCGTCTTCTACGCTGAAGCCCGCGCTGCAGCCCCACAAATCAGCGCAGGTGCGCTGAGTTTCTGTCCTTCTAAAGGTGCGGCTCTACATCTAGAGCTACAACGTTGATTCCCTTTTATGCACACAATTGCTTTTGTTGCTCAGTTCGTAATTAATCCAAAACTTAGACTGTCAAATGACCTTGTTTCCTTCCAAATTATGATCCCTACAAAACAACATTAAAACACAAAACGAATAAAAATAAACATAAAATACTTGGAAACTCCCAATTTTATTAAGCCAAGAATACTCAATTCGTAGGTATAAAATCCACTCATCATGATCCCATAACAAGTCCAGGTGTTGATGAGCAATCCTAGACAGATGCTACATAAACAACATGTCAGCGAAGGTTTGATTCACAAGATGATGGCTTATTCTATGCCAAGGGAGGTTGATTCTATGTTTGTAGCAATGGGGACAAATGTGAGAATTGATGTAGGAAACACGTGACTCTCAATTGGATGGACAATTAGGGATCGAGAGGATGTTTGTGTTGCTATCTCATTGTTATTATTGATTTAAGATAGAAGATGATGTCGAGGCGTATGGAAAGATTTGTCTCGTTTGCCTAAACAAGTTGGAGAAAAAAGAGAGGATTTTTGTGCCCATTTCTGACAAAGCATCGTAGTCATCCTCGATGGACTTCATTGCAAGTTTGCCGAAAGTGAATGACATGAGTTCGATTCCAGTTGTGGAGGATTGTTTTTGAAAGTATGCATTATTCATTCCTACACCACATACTTGCCGTGTTAAAGTTGCTTGCAAAGTTATTTAACAAGTTGTGCAAGTAATTTGGGTTGCCGGAAGATATAGTGAGTGACTAAGATGGCCCATTAACTAGATGTTTATGGACAGTGTCGTTCAATCTCATGGGTTAGGAGTTGTAGTGTTCTATAACAGATCATTCTCATATGGATGGTTAGACTGAGAGGATGAATGTTTTGCTACAGGAGTACCCATGGCACTATGTCACTGCATATTGGAAAAGTAGGGTGGAGTTATGGGATGGAGTTATGCAACCTAATTTTGCTACAACTTGAACATGTCTTCTGCAATAGGCATGACTCATGAGTCTCTTCGAGTAGGCTATGGACAACAACCACTTAGTCCTCATGAAGTGGCTACACAGAATACTGGAAGCAAATGTCCTGCTACATACCACTTTACTTGCACAAAGTTAGAATATCTTTAGGAGGCAAAAGACAGTTTGGTTGAGGTTGTTTGATGGATGAAGAAGTATGTGGACAAAGATCGGAGGCTCCTGGAATTTCACGTGGGAGACTAGGTTTTACTGAAACTGATTCCACACATTTAGAAGAAGATAAACAGCAAGACAGTGCACATGTGTTGGTTCCTAAGTATGAAAGACTATTTGAAGTGATGAAGAGGGTTGGGAACATTGCCTACCACTTGAAGCTTCTCAATTGTTTTAAGATTCACCCGGTATGTGAATTTTTTGAAGCCTTACTTGATGTTAGCCAGAGACAAGCCAGGAGGGCTTCACCCATTGTGAAACAACTATTCAACAGGGGCATCGAGAAGATTCTTGCTCACAGGACTGCTGGTTAAAGTAAGAAGAATTGTCGACTGATTTTCTAGTTCAATGAAAAGGTGGCTTCGAAGCAGAGGCTAGTTGGGTACTCTTTGGCAGTTTGAGAACAAGATCAAGGAGTACTAGGACAACCTCTCTACAAGGACGTCAAGTTCTTCTGGTGGGGTTGGTTCATTATCCCCTTGACAGTTTGGCACGACCATGGTGGCGAGCGACTTGTTCAATGGTGTCCCGTGCCAAGGTAAAAAAGTAGGGTTGTGCTTGGTGGACGCCCAACGTATATCACGGCTCTTAAAATGATTAGAAGCATGTTGGTGACCCGTGTTAGTCTTTAGAAGCACATCGGTCAGTGGTCGGTATGTTGATTTGGTGGGCAGTGCACAATTGCATGATCGACAGGCCAACTGTTAGTCCGAATGCTTATAAATTCCTAGGAAGGTGCTTTAGTGGCAGTTTCGTAAATACCATTATGATTTCTCAGAATCCTTGACATCTATTGCTGGCACTTGGGTTTTTCTTCCAAAAACATAAGGCAGAGGGTCTCTCTAGGGCACTTAGGCGTGGCAACCCTGTTGCACTTGAGCCTTGGTAAGCTAAAGCAAGGCACGACACCAAGATCCTTGTCATGGGTTGAGGCAAGGCATGCAAGTTGGAAACTCAAGAAAATTTGGGACCATTGCATTTGTGGGATTTGTCACTATGGAAGCCCCACACATGACTGAAAGAGGCAACACATTGTGGGCACAATTGGTAACGTTGAAGGCAGACTATGAATAGTCATGGGCTAGGCAAAGGGTGTTCCTTGTGTGCATAAAAGATCAAACTATGGGCTGGGCATGGCTTGGCACATGTGCACAGACAAAGGCAACAATGTAGACAGACAATGGTGGGTTTGGTCTAATCAGGCAAGCAGTTGGTATCGGTTATGGGTGGTT